GAAGATTTCTTGGACAGACAGGATCAAAAACGTTGTCTACAGACTACATTAAGCTCCGTAAATTGGAATACTTTGGACATGCTATGCGGAACGATAAATATAGATTACCGAAAATCATCATCCAGGGAAAGTTAGATAGAGATAGAAGATAGTAAACGCAGCACAGGGCACCACCGATCATAGTGGCTAAGAACTTTCGCCATGTGTAGAGTTCTTCAAACGATATACCCTTTTTACGAAATCATGCGGTATTTAACTTTAGTTAATTTTTTATTAACGCTTAACACCAGGCCTACCTCTTTGCAATCATCAATAAATAGATTCGCAATTCCACGTTCCAGGACCGTACTTAGAATACTACGCAACTTTACCGTTAATTCGAAAGCTCGATGTCCGAACGGCAAGAGACGGAAATGTCAAACACCCGGTATATACCCTTTTGCCGCGCCCAATGTGGATCCCAAGACGAAAATCGGCCGCGGAGAGATCAATTAAAAACGAGTCGTTGTCGCGGTTTTGCAATATTTGTAAATCTCGATTAAACTGGTATGGCGCGAGAGATATGAAACTTATTATAATCGGACTTCATTTAGTGATTTTAAGAGAACGTTTAGTACGCGACGATAAAACGAAGCCGAACGAGTCGGAATCTCTTCTCGCACGTCGCAAATCTCAGTACGCGCACCAGTACGCCAAATAAGAGTGAATTTATCAAAAAAGGAAAAAAAACTCGTGGTTTAAAAGTCCTATTATTGCATTGCCACGCGGTGTTGCGGTGTCAACGGTAGCATGACGTGCGAGGATTGCTCCTTCGTGTAATCGTACGATCGACCCTCAGTTTGTGGAAGTTTTTCCCCAGGACTTAAACGCAGGTAATTCACCGTGCACCGTGCACCTACCGCACTTTTTTTTTTTCGAAACCCGCAAAACCATCAAAACCGTTAAAAAACACACTTTGGTTAGTGTTTCACGTGCTAAATAATAAGGAATAACAGGTGGAACACAGGAATTAGATAAAGTTTCGAGTACCTCAGTTTCTCATAAAAATTCACGTGGTTTTTGATTTGATTTAATTTGATTGATTGATTTAAAAAAAAACATGAGGGCAAAATGTTCTCGGCATTGGTCCACCAACTTACAATCAGACCCTTTAAATAGTACCAACCAAGCAAAAACAATGCAGATGAATCAGTATTTTTTGTTAAAAAAAAGCCAATCAGTCGTATCCAGTGACTAAAAGTTTAGGCCGAATAATTGATTCGCAAATTAAGTTTGCTAGCCATATGATATATATTCTTAAAAGATCTTATTATCTAGATCGAAATATGGAAAAAAGAGCTTTGCCACTCTATTATTTAGTCACATTGTGTACGGACTCTACGGTCGTGACTCGTGCAGAATTTAGAAGATGCAGAATTCGGCCATTATATTTCTTTTTGATATGAAAAGGCAAAGTCGGATATCCCACAATCTTAAAGAAATTAATCACTAAAAGAAAATTTCATTCACCTCCTTATTTAAAAAACAAAATTAACTTTTCTAAATGATGTGCATCATGTAAATTTGATGAAAAGCGCATTAATAATGCGCATCAAAAATAATTATAACAACCATTTTAAAAAAGTTGTTTTCATATATAATATTTGCCAGCTATTAATGAACTATTATTTATTTCAATTTAAAAAGAATCTAAAGAAATCTGTTAGAAGGCCAATGATTCATTTATATTTTGCATTTTGCAGTGGATCTTGTTTCCTATTCTGTAGCAATTCACGTTATTGGATATTTAAGTTTCTATATATATATATATATATATATATATATATATATATATATATATATATATATATATATATATATATATATATATATATATATATATATATAAAAGAGTTTGGCTGTAAGGCTAGGAGGTTTCGATCAGTTTTGCTAGAAAAAGGTATATGTCTTTCCAATAATCAGCTGAGATAAAAAGCACTTAGACAGTTGGGCCCAACTTTTTCGCGATAGCAGATAAGAGATAAAGGGAATTTTAAACGGAATAAATAAGATTTTAACGCGGTCGTTTGATATTTGAGGATATATGATAAATCGGAAAAATACAAATCAAAAATGTCATAAACCGCAATGATGACCAGATTGTCTTTTTCCTTCTAAATCTAACAGAACACAAATTCAAAAGCCAAAGGCCCTAGTGAACTTTGGCTCGAATTTCCATGGAATATTCTTGCCAGCAATTAAACTAAAAATGTCGCGGCTGATCATCAACGACGTTAACGTTTTTGTATGAATTATTTCACAAGAAATACGATACCATTAGCACTTGTTAAACGGTTCGTTATTGCGAAGGTCGCGATTGTATAGACGAAACCGAATAAATTAAGCACCACAATCGCCGAACTCGTTGACCTTATCGGGACGATTTCTTTAAATGACCCAAAAATTTGGTGTTCCATAGCGAGAGAGAACACACAGAGAGTAACGGGCAACGGAGCAAGAAAACAAATCCTTAACATTAGCTACATTTTTATAGATTACACTTTGACACTGGACACTGTTGTGGAGAATAGTTCATAAAATCGCCACTACTAAGCACATAGAAAATTATATGAAAGTAATAATGCTAAAACATCATATCATATCACACGAACACAATGAACTAAAGAAATAGACCTTCCTTTATTTTAACTTAATTATACGTTTCGGACAGACGGATCGCTCCTTGACAACTAGAAAGGTAAAATTTCTATTGGAGGAAGAATCCTCAACAGTCGTATTCGGAAAAAACCAATTCATGCAGCAGAGAGTATTGATTAAACCAATCGAAAACTAGGGTCTTGGTTTATAGGTTGCTTCAACAATGCTAGCAATAACATTATGAGTTACAAATTTCATAGTGCTGTGTAGGTACTCGAGATCAATAAATATAGAATATAGAACGGACACCTTCACAGTTCAAAAGCTAAAAATAATAGGCGACTCTCTTAAAGTAAATTTTCAACACTTATTTCAATTTTCTCGGCAACGAGCAAGAAGAACAAAAAAAGAAAAAAATAATATTGAGGCGACTTATACCTGATAAGAGTTAAGCAATCCTCACATACTCCCGGATAGAGGTACGTGGAGAAATCAGAGTGAAACCTAGCAATACCACCAAACCCTCAAGAGGGTAATAGGACAGAAGAGGAAGCAAGAGTGCCAAATAGGAAAAATTGAAAAATAAAAATTTCAAATACAAGTATATAAAACTAACAGGCCAAAGTAACAGATTTAATTTAGACTGGAGTACCCTAATCTTTACAAGATACAGTGCCGACAAGACGACATATTTTTTAATTGAATATAAGTATATCTCGAACAATTATTTCCGCACGAAAAAACTATAAAATAATAAATTTTTACGATACTATAAAACAAAATCTCTCTCTCGTCGCACAGATTTTGCGCTGTTGGGTATTCCAAAAGCACATCAGCAATAATGTCGTTACCACAAACCTTCGAGTGCCGCATGTGCCACCACGATTCATGTTTTTAGGACAAGTGAGTTTTTTGCAAAAGCTCTGATTTGAAAAATCTATCTTAAGTTTAAAAAAGATTTTTTCAACGCTTGTAAATTTAAGGATTTATGTACAACAAACCCGCAAAAAAAATTACACGTGTTTTGTCCGCACGGTCCTTGATAATAAAATTATTAATTCTATGGAACCACATCTGTGCGGTGTGTCTCGCAATGAATATCTAAACGTTTTTATTTGGCGCTTATTAATAATATACGTCAGATAAAATCACATCGAACAGCTATGCTTGTAGGTAAAATTTCGGTTTAAAATTGGAAATGTGTTACCTAAAAAAATGGATATCTACTAAACTAAGAGCGAAAAGTGAAAGTAAATATAAATTAATGCAAAAATTTTAATTATATTCAAATTGATAGAGATCTTAGTTTCGACCAAAACGTACCGAACACTTGTCGCTGACGATGACGTATATGAAATTATCAAGTTTAAAAAAATCAATGACCGTATTTCGAAGACCTGCCTAACTTGTATATAGTTACTATTTGAGCAGTTGATTTTTTTTATGGACCGCAATTTAAGTAGTAGGATTATGTACTCCAGAAATGAAAAAAAAACTTCATCTTGTAACGATTATCCTCACAAATTAAGATACTTCACTATATTACGAGTTGATGTCCTGCTAATCAAAGACAATCACACCAACACTTTTGTTTGGTTTTCTTGCATCGAAACTAGCTGACTAGCCAGCCGTTGTCAACAATTAGTTTTGTAACAGTTGCTTTAGTTCATGTTAAGCACTCGTAAACTAATCTCAATATGTGATGGATTCGGTGTCAAGATCTTAAGAATAAAATAATGACTAATAACTTTCCACTGGTAGGCTGCCTTGTTTGTGATTTGGCTAAAATGATTGCGGGTAACGCAATAATGGTCACTACCCCATCGTAGCGCAGCTATATGAAATTTTTCGCGAGCCTTATACATCAGAACGAGCACTATAGTATTGATAGGCTAACCTAATAATAAACGATAAAATAATAATTATAATTGCACGAAGTTTACATGTAACGGTGATAAAGTGACACGGAGTGTTTAAAATGCCGACTAAAACGTGCTAAAGCGACAGTTCTATCTGATGTTAATTTAACGACGTAATTTTCCCAAAAGGCGTCGCGTTTTGCTAATACATTTACATTAATCGAACGTTTAGACTAAAATGACTTCGAACAACAAACAAGGTCGTCCGAGCGATTCGTTGCTTGGCGGAAAATATACTGTGTGCCATCGAAATTGGTTAGATATAGTTAAGTTTTGGGAAATTATAATCGGAATGTAATAACAGTGATGCCATGTTGTCAGGGTACGTCGTAGAGGTATTTGTTATAAACCCTGGGGCTTGTGGAACTAGTGGACGCGATGAACAGTTCCTTAAACGCATTTCCAGTAGAACGACAACAATGGGACATAAGTGGAGGGAGTTACGGGTCGAAAGATGTCGATGAGATAGATTTATATGATAACAAGAACGGGCTCAGTGGAATTGGATTGTTAGTGATGAATGAAAGAAAGAGAATTGTTCCTAGCAGTGAAAAGAAGGAGTACCGATTGCTGACGTTGATTATGGAGCAAAGGAAGATAAAAATACTCCGGTCTCCAAAACATTCGAGATTCGACCTATACATTATACACACACAGGATCAAAATGTATTTACCAAAATTGTGCCGATATTTATTACCTGGATATGGTACCTTAAGAAGTCACGTTTGGTTTGTGGGCTAGTGATGGTCATAGAAAAGCTCGTCGAAGAATTCTATATGAAACGTGAGACTGTGCTTACTAGGGGCATTATGGATTATGGTTATGGGTACGAAACAGTTGGAAGCAGATCACCTGTAGTAATAACATTTTACAATCTGTCGCGCATGTAGGGTTATGTATACCTCTACACTAATTAGAAATTTCCATGGACAAACCAATATAACCGTGGCCCACGGTTCACTACACTTATCGCCTGTTGAACATGGATGATCCTCTACTGGACGCACTACTTCAAGGGGGAAGTTTATCCTGGGAGAGCTTACTACAGTGACCCAGCTACAGAATGTTAAGATTTAAGTAAAGGAGCAACAAAAACATTTACACACAGTATACAGTATACATAAGCCAGACTAAAGCGCCGCGCCGCATTTATTACGAAACTGATTGGCCGTCGATTTGCATATACATGGGTTTTACTCGTGGAGGAAGTTTCGAACGAAAATGCAATAAAAAAGGAAAACAACGAACCGGGCAAGCAACGAGAAGGCGGCTTATAAGAATGTTACTCAGAGCTACGATGTTAAGGTTATATACTTTGTTTATAAGCGGGCGGCTGTCTCATATTATACAATCCAGTCGCGTTTTAAGCCGGTTCGCGTTTGTTTATTTAAAATATGATTATGTAATAGCGCGCACTTTTTTCCCAATTCGACTTTAAATCAACACGAGTTCGTGTAGTTCCGTTCGCGTGTGCGCGTGTGTGCGCGAAGTGTTTTTTTTTTATTTCGGACGTTTTGGGACAACAAATCAGCGACACCATGTCTAACCAGTAGGTGGTGACACGATGCTCGGCAATTCGACAAATAACCTTAAATCATTTAATTGGCATTAGGCACCTGTGATAATATTCATTTCGATGGAGATCGAAAGCGACTATTGTTTTTGAGTCAGGCAATTTTAATCACACCCTATGTATAGTGTGACGCACAGGAAACGCAATGTCAACTAACTTCTTCTCTTGACAAATAGCAACTTTCAGTTTCTGTGGAATATATTATCGTACCCTTTACACATGAGATAACTTCAACATACAGAAACTTCTTCAGTGTGGTTCTCATTGCGAGAGTACCAATGCAATATAATATATGGCTACCTTAATTGTAAATTGTACGCTAACAAACAGCGTACCATACAGGAACCGAAAGATGATATTCGTCAAGAAATTGCAAGAGCTCCAGAATAAATTATTTTAAAAGTGATTCACCGCGTTCATCACGTGCGACCTAGAAAGAGGGACATACTAGGCTGACATTATTTTTCGATATTGGAAATTGCACTGTCATTGCTTAATTTATCTATAATTAAAACATTATTAATAAAATCGAATTGAAAATATGCCTGCTATTAATCAAAATTTCAAAAAAACCTTTTAATGATTGTTCCATAACATCGATAATATTCTGGTGTTTTATATAAGTGTGACAATAGGAAAATATATCTTTTTAAATGGAATAACCCATACATTTTTGTATAGTACAATTACATAGTAGCCGGTAATTATTTTCGAATTTTGATAATTAAAAGGTATAATAGATAGCTAAAACGAAAACTCAACAATGGTAATGGCAAATAAAGCAGTTAGATATAGGGTTTTCATTTTTACAAAAATTACTTCCAAAATCGTCAAGTTGGAAACACTTGTACTATACTAAACTGTACTTAATTCTTGGGAACTGTACCATGGTCTTTTGTTAATAAAGGGTTATCCAAAAAGAAAGAGCAGACCGCAAACATTTATTTCTTCCAAACTACAAAAGATAGAAACATGATTCTAATGTAATGGATAGAGAAAAGTATACAATTATCGTATGCATTCAATATGAGGACACGACACGGCAAATATCAAAACGGTGGCACATTTCTTGCCAATCAGTTTGTCTTTGGTTATGGAATTAATTCACTGCTTTATTGATTCAACGTCGTAGATCTCCAAGCGTGTCAGGGGATAAAAACACGCCCTCTTACGTATCCCCAGAGAGAAAAATCGCAAGGAGTGAGATCTGGAGAACTGAGAATCCACCGTCGATAAAGTTCGTCTTCTGCTCCTCCTCTTCCTATCCAACGTCCTGTAACTTTGGAAGTTTTACTTTTTTTTTAACCATTAATGTTGGAATTATGTTTCTATCTTTTGTAGTTCGGAAGAAATCTGCTCTTTTTTTGTTTTCAACGTAGCGGTAAAATTTAAAAACAATAACGGTGTCATATCTTGCACGATTCGTAACACGCAAAAATAAAGCTTATATCAATCATATATTTGATTTTATGCAACAACTATTGAAAGATTTTTCAAGATAGTGAGAAAAACATATTTACTCTTTCACCACTGTATTTGTAAGAAGAAATAAATCAGTCACACCAAATTCAATGCCGAAAACATTTATAATAACTAAATTTTTAGGAGTTCATAAAAAAAGCTGTAACTATACTTTGTAATGATATCTTGGTAGTGATAATATCATACACATCTGTAAAATAGCAAGAGCAAAAAACACTCCTACTAAAAGGTCTAATTAAAACAAAATTTGATAATAACTCGAAGAGATAAAACGCGGCCTCGTGCTTAAATTAGCGCTTGTAAATTGATAAATATCGGTTAAGTACTTGAAATTAAAAAAAAACAATTAACGATTAGTAAAAAATTATGTTGCCAAAATTAACTCAAATTTGATTTCAAACATTGTCACTTATATTATGGGAACATATGGGACATTCATTGGTCAGTCTTCATCAGGGCACGGTCAAGAATAAAATACCTTCACCTTTGCGATTGTTTATAAAAATGCAATCAGATATCCAATCTACTTATTGCTACAGACACTCTTCTTTGTATTGGCATTGTTCAAAATATAATAGTGGTGATGTTTTCGAAAATTGAACCCACAGATGACCGTACTATTCACCAAAAAATTTCATAAAAGTCATTTCAAATTTAAAAATGGTTGCGGATCAGCCTCAAACATTTAAACTTCGTGCCCTGGGCCGTTTTTACAGAAAATCGTAATTATTCTATAGTATTACCACGTGTTACGTTTCTGCTGCAAAGAAATAAAGACAGAATGAAAAACCACCTGATGCATTCGTAAAATCGGAAGCGGTAAATCAAAACATCTAACGGTAATAAAATAAGACGATATGAATACAAATGTAACATTAAATTCTGTTTGGACCAATAACGGAATCGTGCGCTTCTAATGGCGTTTTACTAAATATACTATACAAGGTGTTCGGAGAATGCGCGGCGAAATTTCAAGAGGTGGTGCCTCGTTGAGTAACAGGAAAAAAAGTTTTTATAGACATGGATCTGAAAATGCAAAGCTTTTATGATGCGGGGTGTTAAAAGTTAAAAGCACTAAGACCATATTTTTCTACTCCCGTCTGTAAAATGCATAATTACAGACACGGGAAGCGTCACTTTACCACTTCAGTTTCGTTTCCCACGGATCTGAGCCACTTCGGACATTTCCGGGATTTTACCGCACGGTTTTGGGAGCGATCGGATGTCTTCGGAGATATTTCCCACGCCTTGAATTTTGACGTTTGTCAATTCTGACAGTTATATCAGTGAATGTATTCGTGTTGTTTTGCGAAAATGCATCCAAAAACTAATGGTCGTAGAAAAGTATAGTATGCAACACGTTCGGTATACATTTTAAGTTACTCGTTTATTAAACACTCGCTCCGCGTCAAATGCCGTTTACCGCACTTGTTACATAATATACTATTATTACTTTTGTGAAAAGTAAATTCCCGAGGAATTACCATAAAATAGCCATTCTGATAAACTAAATTTCATACAAAAAAAATATTACTAATAATTAATAAGAACACAGCGAATAATAAATAAATCAGTAGATTCCTGCTACGTTAAAGGCAACGAATTGTGTCCAGTCTAAAGCGATAGCGATTGAAATTGTTAGCCTTCCCACGCAATTCTTCGGATATTTTTAATAATGACGTTATATTCTAATCGTGAAAAAATGCAATGCAAAAAAATTTAACAATTGAACGTGCGCGCGTTTAACGCGATAGGAAAAATAACATTCGAATTAATGAATGGAATAATGGGAAAACGTTTTCAAAATGCAATGCCGCAGCCTTGCCCCCAATTATCATGGCTATTAAGGCGACATCTCGATCGTTAGCATTTTAAAATAAACAAACCGCAACTGGTGGGCATGTAGGTGATATTCGGCCTATCGTCGTGGCATCATTTTCAAACGTATTTTTCAAACGTCCAAAAAAAAAGTAATTACAAAATTTAATCGTGATACGATCGTTGGGAATTTTCCAGATAAAATTAATTCCGTATCAATGTCATTGTTCTCCTTGTGATTGATCAAGGTTGATATACAATTCACGGTTACTATGAAAATAGATATTCATTCTAGTTGAGCATCCACATGGGTAGATGATTTTTGGGTAAATTTTAGGAAGAATATTTTATATAAAAGTCCGTTCAAAAATAAAATTTATTATCACTAATACTATCTGTAATCACAACTCTAGGTATTCTAATGGAATTTGACGGTAATTGACGATAAATAATTTTTGAAATCCTCATTCGTCTGTAAGTGTAAGGAAAGTGGGTACCTCATTTTTTTTCTAGTTCACATTATTGATGATGAAATTTTTTTTTAGAGACAAAAAAAATTCAATACATCCAATCTGAACATAAGTTTTAAAAACACCCTATAATGCAAGTGATGTTCCAACCTGTATATATGTACAGGGTGAGTCAACGATAGAGTGAAGTAGATTATCTCATTGGTTTCAAAAGTTATGAAAAAATGGTAAGATTTTTGAGATGTACAATTGGAAATTATTTTAAAGTATACAGGGTGACTCAAAATAAGCGTGAAGAATAAAACACACATTTTTGTAAATGGATAACCCTATATTTGAATTTTCTTTTCGTTTTGAAATTCTTCAACTTTTTGTTTAATTATATGTTTGAATTATTCTAAAAAAAATACTAGTTTTCATATTTAAGAAAGAAAGAAAAGAAATTACGATAGCGCCATTATTTTTGAAAATAGATCACTCATATTATTTGAGGATGACGTAAAAGATATATGCAACGGAATTGACAATTATAAATTGAAATATCTCGACTTTCTAAAATAGCACAAAACACAAATTATTATTTTTTCTGAAGATCTTACAGGAGCTTACAACTTTTATTAATTATATCATATACTTATTTTTAATACTTTCCGATTTATTTTAACTTTTCCAATATTTACCCTCCTTCCTGTCTAAGACTATTGCTACAATCTTAGTTTTGGTTGTTGCCATTACAAAACTATTATATTAAAATTTAAAAATGAACAGGAAAAGAAATATCTTGGTGCCGTAGATAAAGTAAAAGACATTAATTAGCAATTTTGGTGAAAAGAACGACAAAAATGTTGAAATGAGCTTCTACTTTAATACATATTTTCTTGTGGGTGATTCTTTGGACCTTATAGACTAAGGGATAATGAAGAGGTGCCTGATGGTGCGCAAGTGATATTACTCTAGTCTCTAACTTTTTAATGAATTATTAGTACACTGAAATCGTACATTTTCTTGGACGTCATTTAGCATAAACGGTGTTATTCTCTTGCACGCGTCCCGAATCCTATTTTCCCCCAATCCACCCCTAACGATCCATTTCTGTGGGTAATGAATCCTTAAAATTTCTCGAACCTCTCGATGGTAATGCGAAGCAGCTCATCTTGCTGAAACCACATTTGTTGGATTTCAATGTTATCAATTTCTTAAAGAAGTTGTGGCAAATCATTCTGCAAAATGTTCAAATATCTGGACCCGTTAAGTCGTTCGCGAAAAAAAAACAGTCCAATAACTTTAAAGTGTTTCATTAAGTTTTTACATCGTTTTTCCTTTCCAGAAGCGGTCACCACCCATCCAGGCATCGATATACCTCTGTGAAAACCAACATGCCGAACCCTCATCACCATAACTTTGACATCGAAGAATCGCCAAATCCAACAGGCAACAAGTATTTAAAATGTCTGCGTACGAACGCGTTGACACTGGCGACGGTAGCGGGCGTCCTCTTAGGGGGTATCATAGGGTTCATCTTAAGAAACACAAAGGACGAATGGACGGAACGTCAAGTCATGTACATAGGTAAGCCATGCTTTGCAAATCCTGACCCCCGTGCAGAACCCCGGTTGAACTGTATATCGTTCCGCAGGTTTTATCGGAAAAATTTTCCTTCAGATGCTCAAATCCCTCATAATTCCGTTGATTGTTTCGTGCCTGGTGTCGGCTATCGCGAGCCTTGACCTGTCCCTGTCGGGAAAAGTGGCGGCCAGGGCGATAGGTTACTATCTGACTACGACGTTCGCCTCGGTAGTATTAGGCATGGTAGTCGTAGTAATTATTCAGCCGGGAGTGGGTAGGACCGTCACCTCCACCCACACCAGTTCGGTCACCGAAAGGAATACCACCACTGCCGATACACTTCTGGATCTCGTTAGGTATTTACTTTTACGCATCTCGTGACAACCATTCAATAATTATTCCATAACACGACCCTTGATGTTTGGTTTTCTCTTTAGGAACATGTTTCCGCCGAACTTGATAGAAGCTTGTATATTCCAGGTACGTATATAATGGTAAAGTTTAATCTAAAAAATAGATCACATTTCAATCAAAGTGATCTTGTATGGCCTTATTTGGTAAAATCGTAACAGTGTTTCAAGCCTGATTCTTGAGAATTAATCACGCATTTCTTCATTTTAGCACCGGACTTTACTTACACCTAGGAGTGACAACGATACAGGTAAGGCTTATTTATTTCACAACTAACTAAAACCAGGTCAGTCAAAGAAACCAAAAAAAAAGTAGTCTGCATAAAAGAACATTTAGACTTATACCTACTTCGAAAAATACTTTTTAACATTTACCTTACCCAAAAAATAAATAAATAAATAAATACACCACAGCCTCACTCACCATAGCCGAACTTGCTATTGCTTGCAGATGTAAGCATGTTCAGCATCGGCAGTGAGACGACGCAAAACACGAACATCCTAGGATTAGTGGTGGCTGCGGCCGCCATCGGTATCGCGCTGGCTCAATTGGGAGATGAAACCAGAATCATGTCGGAGTTCTTTCATAATCTGCTCACACTGATGATGAAGATCACAAGTTGGATCATCTCCATATCGCCGGTAGGGGTGACGTTCCTGGTAGCGGGAGAGATATTGCAGATGGACGACATGAGTAAGATTTTATTGTTTTGGCAGTAACAACTTCTATCAGAACATCCGACTTTTAGAATCCGTTATGGGGTCGTTGGGACTATACTTTGCTACGGTGTGTGTGGGATTGGCCATACAAGGATTCGTCGTATTGCCACTGTTGTATTTCTGTTTAACAAGGCGGAATCCCTTCAACTTCATCAAATGCCTGGGACCGGCCATCACCACCGCATTTGCAACGGCGTCCAGGCAAGCAAATTCTCCCTCCCGAAGTACACACACGCATATAATTGTATAATTTTACAATTTAGCACGGCAACGCTTCCTCTAACCATTAAGTGTCTGGAAGAGAAGCTCGGAATCGACCCCAGGATCGCCAGGTTCACCTTGCCCATAGGTTCAGCTATCAACATGGACGGAACGGCGCTGTATGAAGCGGTGGCGGCCATTTTTATAGCTCAGGTGAGAGGCGTTGATCTGCACATAGGCAGATTAGTCGCCATCAGTATTACTGCTACGGCGGCCAGTATCGGCGCCGCCGGTATACCACAAGCCGGCCTCGTTACCATGGTGATGGTATTGGATACCCTTGGCCTGCCCGCCGAAGATGTAACTCTCATATTGGCCGTCGATTGGTTACTGTAAGTACCTATACTTAATTAAACAATTTTGCGTTTAATATGATGCTTAGGTGAACACTTTCCATGATTGCTATAAGTCGAGGTCTTCTGCTCGTCTCTTAAATGCGGCTTTCTTACTTTTTTTTTTATTTAAATCAGTTTTGGTCTCCGCATTTCCCTTTCAATGGTTCTAACCTCTTACGCTCGTGACTCTTGGAAGGACATTCACTCGATTTTTAGAGGTGCTGCCTATAATCGGTGGTGATTTCGTTACAGGGACCGGTTCCGTACATCGATAAACGTCATGGGTGACGCGTTTGGTTCCGGAGTGGTCCATTACCGAAGTCAAAAAGAGTTGCAGGGATTCGCCGCGGAAGGTTCGCGAGCCACATCGATCGCCAACGCGAACGACATCGACAAGGAGAGCGTGAACGCACACGAAAAAGCCTAAATCCCACAGAATATTGAAATGCGCACCCGATGTTAAGTTTTATATATTAAATAATGTGAAACAAAATCGTTTTTTTTGCAAATCCCTATTTCCAGTTAAAGTAATGACAATTTTTTTAAAGCAGTTTGAATTTGAAAACAACGCTAAATAATGATTATCGTCACATAATCTGTAATAATGCCAAATTCACCATTATTTTATGAGTAGCTACTCACTACTATGAAAATGTTACTACTAGTGATTATTTCAGCTAATTTACCTGTTTCCCTTGAGGAAAACTTTAAACAAATGTTAAGTTTTACTTTTTCAGGCGCATCCGGATTTGTTTAGGTTAAAATGCAACTGATTACATGAATAACTATTGTGGAATTGCAAACCCTTTCAATCCAAATTATTATTATTATGATAAGTATCATTGTTGGTATATACAACTAGCTCTAATAAGAGTTCAGACTATTTTACCGCAAATTATTACGACTCACCCTTTAAACTTTGGGGGTAAATATGCTACAGTTGACTAACCTGAAACAATAAAACAAAATCTTATTTAAGCAAAGTAAGTTCAAAACAAACTTAAAAGATATTTTGACAGGAATTGTATTATGATCGCTTATTTTATCCTCAATCGTTGCCAAATATTTTTGAAACGTTTTCATTCAAAAAACATATATATCAAAAAACTAGTAAATATATCGAAAAATAGGCCTAATTTAATTATTTTTTCTTAATACACAGATTCAATGTAATCATAAAACAGGAAACAAAATTACGAAGCTAGACGAAAAAAATCATGCGCTCTGGCTCACCACCATAACGAACATTATATAATTTAAAAAAAAACTAAAAAAACCATTGCGATCGTGAGCCTTCCCCATTCTCGAAAACGTCATCATTTATATACAAATTCGCCGAAGAATTGCGAAGCGTAACTTCGGAAACCCTTGGAAAACACGTTATCAGGATACTAGAACCTTCATGTGGTAAAAGGAAACTTCGGAGCACAGTGGCGGCGTTTTTCGAAAAAGGCAACAATTCCTGGTAACAATATCAAACGTTCCCTTCAAATACGTGATTGTAAATATCAAAGACGACTAAAGTTTTATAAGCCACACACTTTTCTTCCTTTCATTTCCGTCAAATCTACAAAAATCATAGGTAAGGGTGGGGCAAGGCGGCAAGGCTTAAGCTTTTTATTATTTTTTGTGGCTTTTAACCATCAAATCGATTTATTTTTAAGTAATTTACCCAAATTTTGTGCCCCAGGGTGGCCGTCGTGTTACTAATAAGTAATTATTAATAACAAACATAGATTAAAACATTGGTATTTATAAGATATTCGAAAGCTCTGGCTTTAGGATAAATCCATAGAATTATCCAAAAAGCACTTTCAATAAAGTAAAATTTTTGATTATATTTTGATTTTGATAACTTTTTTTTGTTGGATTGATCTCTCATAAAGGCACTAAAACCTTATATATTTCTATTTACAGTAACTTAAGGGATCCAATTTACATCGGGTATTATGCAATGGGCTAAAAATGTACAAATAAATAGGATTTATAATTATTGGTAACTTTTTGAGGTTGTCCTCCTTGCCCAACCTTCCCTAGCTGAAATTTTGGTGGCCCTAAGAAAAACCGGAAAATATTTTTTATATAATATCTAAGATCAAAGTGGTGATTCTAAAAATGTGATAATGTAATTGCTAACTAATAATTAAGTCAATTCACTTTTTTTTTTCAAACTAGAACTGACTTAAATATATCTTATGTTATATATAAGTAATATAATAAATATAAGTGGTATTTACTATTTAAAACACTTTTTACTTAATTGGATGGTGTAAAATTAACTTCAGTTTAAGTGCTATTAAGGCAGTGGCAAACAAGATTTAGGTATAGAAAATTCTGCGATATTTTGAAAAGAAACAAAGAAAAGCTCAGAAAAAGGTAACCGCAAAGAAAGTGTGCGATTACTTGACTTGAAATTTAACACTAAAGTCAGCAAATAATCTTCAGTTATTTACTTCTTAAAACTCCTAATTCCGATAAACAAACAACAAAAAACTCCAATGTCCACCCCTACATTAATTCAACATGGAATCGCTACGCCCCTGGTCGAGTGAACTGAGCTAGAAACTCAGATTTACGAACACATATTGGGGAAGTTTTCGTAATGGACCTACTCCAGACGGAGGGGGAGTTGGGAAACCGGCCGCGGAAAACTCTTGGGAAATTTTTGCAACAGGGCACCAGAAACGCCCGGAGCGAGCGGAAACTCCGGCGAAAAGGCGGGGAACATCGATCCGGCCCGCTGCGGCGACGAGGGTGCGCGGGGGGAAAAAATGAAAAATCGGGGGCGTGGTGCTAAATGACCGCGCGCAAGGAAAACGTGTCGGTGACATTTATTGCCACTCGACAACGGTAGCAGAGGCTATATTGATAATTATAGAAAATGTAGCAATTACGTATTTTGTTTAAATCGACGGAATCTATTGAAGGTGTCCTTTTTATGGACTATAACAGGTTAGAACGCTTAGAAGTCATACAATGAAGTTTCAAAGGTGTCGTTTTCTAGACATTGCAAGAAAATTAGGGCGTTTTTCGACGAAATGGCAATTACACTGATTAAAACAAAAAAAATTAAAACTTAACATACAGTGTGTACACCCTTATACACCCTTGTAAAATCTTTGTTTATGGTTCGATTTTGATAAATTTTTGTTGTGGATAGGTCTCTGAAAAATGCGGTAAAACATTGTTTTGCTTATTGCTTCAACTTAAAGTCATGGCAAACTGGGACTATATAGCAAAAGAGAGAAGAGAGAAGTACTATTGGGGATAAAAAAAAAATTGGCAACGAATTTGAACGAATCTGAAATATTGTTTGCGCCCCGCTCAAGGCTGTACATCGTTGTAAAATTTTTGATTATATTTTGATTTTGATAACTTTTTTTTGTTGGATTGATCTCTCATAAAGGCACTAAAACCTTATATTTTTATTTACATTAACTTAAAGTAATGGCGAACTGAGAGGGGCTAATTTTTGATGTCAAATATCGAGAAGGGCTATAAAGGATTTCTTTAAGGATAAAGTATCACCGAATTCTTATTCACGACTAGATAAAACCTAACTATACTAATTTCCATAAAGTTCGCTTAATCATTACTCCTGTGAAATGCTTGTTTATGGCTCAATTTTGGAAATTCTTTTTTTGTTGGACAAATTTCACTGAAAGACTTTTTTCTCAAAATTACATATGAGTAGAAATGATTAGATATGAACTAAACAGACTTTACAACACTTTATTTATTATTAAAAAGGATTTTTAATTCTCATCTAATAATGAAAATACCAGAAATATCGAAATTGATTGACAGAGGTATACTGTTTCATTTGTAAAATCAACTTTGCCATGGAGAAGCGAATATTCGATAGTCAAATTCACTGGCTAATTTATATTTTCATTTTGTTTTCGAATACTAAGATCACATGCAAAATAATCAGTATTTACAAGGTATACATTTTTTTTTTTTAATTAAAACCTTTGGTTTTTGGTCTAGTTATTTTGAGGTAGTCCTGAACACGAATCTGTTATTTTCTATTTGAAAAAATCTCTAAAAGTACTTTTCGAGTTTTCGCTACAAAAAAATGTGTCAAAAAATCCGTTTCATTTCTCATTCTTAAAATCGAACCACAAACAAAGAATTTACAAGGGTGGACAGTTCTTAAGTGGGACACACTGTATAATTTTATTCACAAAATTTAATTTCAAAATCAGCAGGCACTAAAACTCGATTGGAAAATATTCAGTCTATCCTGCAATTTGTTACAATTTGAGCACACCAAATGCAAAGGGGAAAATTGGGGAAAATGAATCGAGAAGAAAAATTAGGAACTTCAAGAAATGTCTTTGAATTTCCTCTAATCTACCTGCATACACCTGCGGCTACCAAATTAGAGAACCAACTTTGAACAAATGCATACATGAGGCAGAGGAATTGCGAGTCACAAAACCTACCCGCCTGTATGAAGATTTGCATGCTGGTTGTAAGAAATTCAAATCAATTTAGTGTAATACTATTCATTTGGTAACTGCAGAGAATGGGATGGGCCCTTCTTATAAAGAAAGGCTGTTGCATTTATACTAGGAATCAAGACGACTTCAAATTATTTTGTAACAATCAGTTAGTGACGTGATGGTGCAGAATATTTTCACGTCATCAGCAGAAAAAAGATATCGCACATCAAGATCCCTTGCAATGTCGTTATGGAAAGCTAAAAACAGCAAATGACCAAGACCCTGTGAAACACCGAACTTCACTTGAAGACTCCAAGAGGCACATTTTTTTCTCTACACGTTAAAAATCAACAATGGAAGGGTCTACTCTACTAGCTTATTTAAAGCTCATTTCATCAACTAAGATCGGTTTCTGATAGAAGTTTTCACCACCAAGAGTAATAAGTTAGTTTAATTGCTTTTGTCCTCCTTGATTGATTGTTTTCGGTACATCCGCTCTACATTTGCTGGTGGTCGCAATCTCTACTCTGAGACATTTGGAGCTAACCAAAAGAAGAGAACTAGTGACACATCAATAAGATCCCCACCGTATATACATTTGCTGGAGCTGCAAACAAGTCACCCACAGATATAAAGAAGGTAGACTTCCGAGGTTATGAAAAAACGATACAGCGAAGACTGAAAATTGGTACTCGTATGATGAACAACAACCCTCTGAACACGCCTCTGGCCACTTAAATCTCCGCCGAATGTTCGATCCCTGTGCCAAGAAGTGGCCAGACAATTTATGCCCTCGAATAGACGTTCTCCGCATTACGCCAACCCCGATACGTCGTTCCAGATAAATATATGACGTCACAAATAGCTCAAAGGAAACTTTTTAATAGAAAACTGTTACGACTTAATATCGGAAATAACTTTTCCAGTTTTTCGAGTTCGGATAAAACGGCAAATTTAGTAAGACGCAAACTAAACTTTCTAACCGGAATTCGGTCCCGGCAAAAAGTGTAGTTTGAGGAATATGTTCCAGATTGGGACCCGGAAC